AGGAAGAAATTCCCATGGACCACGGCTTCAAAGCCCGAAAAACATTTCGAAATGTGAAGTGATCTCCGGTGCTTTCCGACTAAAACGGAAAGCACTGCCTCATCGCCTCTGATAATGTCCAGCGCATCTGTGGACGAAACGTCAGGAAGAAATTCCCATAGACCACGGCTTCAAAGCCCGGAAAACATTCCTAAATGTAACTTAATGCATTTCCAAGTTTCTTTTTAGGGTTTTCTAAAGGATGGAAGGAGGCGTTTATGTCGGGGGAGCAGGAGCCCTGGGTTTTTAGGGGGGGACTGACTGCCGATTTACAAGTAAGTGGATGATCTGGTCTAGTTGTTCCCATAATGGAAAAGAGTCTTTCAGCGCCTGATTCCGGTTGATTCTGGAAATGATCTTTTCGCGTACAAAGTGCCGGATGCGCCCACGTGTAAAGTGTTCACTATCCGACCCTATTTGGGCAGTGATGAAGCGCAAGTGTACGATGTGTGCAATCGAACCTGCAAGGATGGCCTGGAAGATCACATGCCGCTGCTGCCCGAACTAAAAAACGTCTATGCTGATCGATTAGTTGGACCTTATGTGACGCTTCATCCAGAGTTCTCTTTTGTGGTTGAGGTACGTTTCGGTTCTTCCACTTAGACACTAACTGATTGTTTGGAGTTTAGGACGATGCAGTTATAGTTGGGTATGCATGTGCAGCACCCGATCATCGGAAATTCCGAATCAAGCAGGAAATAGCCTGGATTCCGGAAATGTGCGAAAAATACCCCGTTCATTTGGCTCAAAGTACCACTAGCTCTGTTCAGGTGAGTTTCATCAACAAAGCGTTCACACACTGATTCACTAGCGAACGCTTACTTGTAATTCCAGGAATGCATATCACATTTCCACAACTTCAAAAATGAAGTTTTTGTGAACAGTCCCACACATCCCGCAAGCATGATTTGCAGCCTTTTGCCATCAGTGCTCGATCATTCAGTCAGTAAGCGGCTAGTGACTTGCCTGCTGGCATCTTTAAGAGCCAACGGTACGTGCAATAATCGAAAAATTCTTCTGACGATCACCAGGTAAATTGCAGGTTTCTTCGGGGTGCATGCGGCCATAAACTCCACGGACAGTTACACACATGCTTTCTATGGAAAGCTGGGATTTTCAGAGAATACTCAAGATGGCGTCAAAGGTAAAATAGTGATGGGTCGAACTTTCTAAGCTACATTAGCGTTGTGAGGGCCTCCCCTGTTTTTTCGACTGATTAACACTTTTAAAAAGTTCCCTTATCGATTTCACTTTTTACTCCTTTTTTTCCTGATCGCGTGTAATTGTTGTTATATTTTTTTCTTTCCTGG